AACGCAGCATGGACAAAAGATACTAATTTTTTTGAGATTGATAACTGTATGATAGTGCTTATTACCTCAGAATTACGGGGGCAACAGTATAATCCAGTAGATGGGGGAAATAGTGGATATTAAGACAGCAATGGGATCATAACTCTTCTATTTTTCCCACATTAATTGTTTTAAGGGGGTAAAGGCAGGGAATATGAAAACAGGAAGATATAAAGGAGGTTGTGAAAGATGACTCAGGACTCGAAACAATGTTTCACTTCAGTAAATTTACAGTTGAATGTATAGAACAGAGAAAAATAGAAGAGGGAGGAAAAACAAACTCCATGATTTAAAATTTTGATGACTGTGACAATAACTGTGTCTTTAAAATAACTGAGAAATGGTAGAAATAAAAACTATAAGCTTCAAATATATATTACTTATTCTTGACAAAGATAGTTGCAAGCTGAAGCCAAAATTTCTAACTAGGATTAATGCAAAGATTTCAAGACAAACTTTAATAAAGAATTATTGATGCAAGCGCTTTGAGAAAGCGAAGGTAGAGACTACCCATTAGCTCTTGCTTAGAAAGATAAAGGTCACTGAAATAAAATTTGCATTTTAATCTACACATTTGCAGCATTATGTCATAAATTTGCATGTTGTTTATTACAAATGGGAAAAGATTTCCTGTAATAAATCAAGATTAGTTTTAATAGTTTCAAGGACTGTTGATTTGTAATCTTAAGACTATTAGTGTTGTGGAAAATTAAATATAATTGGTGTTTTAGGAAAAGTTCATTGAAGTTTCCATTTTATGTGCCTTAAAAGATGAATTTTGCTTATTAATTATGTGATATTTAAGCCCTGCTGTAAACTTCACATATTTGGTAATAACCACTATATACTTAATGAGTACAGAATATGGAGTATTTCCATATTAAGTTAGAAGAAATATTTAAAAGCACTTCTACTTGTGATGTCATTGGGGGTTCAACACAATATAAAGTACACACATTGCTGGGGGAGAAGCAAAGAATAAAGAACTCATGGGGAAAAACTAAAGACTCACCTAAATCAAATCTTGGTTTTCAGCATTATCTTTCATTACTACTCTTTGTTCCAAAAAAAAATCTGTCCTTTTCTATATGTCCTCTACATTAAAACTTACTATTTGTATGTATACTGCTCCCTACATCCCAGCCCACTTATCTGCCCTCTTAAATTTATATCAAATTCAATTCCCTTCAAAAAGCCTTCTCAGTTGCTTTAACCCAAGTCAGTAGTCTGTCTTCTGGAAAACAATTGATGCCGATGCCTCTTTTTCCTTTAGCAACTGAAAATAATAGTATAATTATTTAATGTGTGTGTGTGTGCATAACAACATCGTACTATTTAGTGGTATTTATATCAAGTATCTGCTACAATGGATGATAGAGGACTTAAAGACAAATATGTTATTCATATCTATTTCTCACAGGTCTACTGTTGCGGAATTTTTTTTTAGGAATCAAAGAACCCCATCAGTCATGGGGTTCAGGAGGATATTTATTATTTAGGTACACTGGCCCAGTCAGATTAACATCCAAACGACTGAGCCCTGAACAAAGAGTTAAGTTACCTTTTAAGCATTTTGTGGGGTGAGGGGAGATCTATCTGTGCAGGGGGACGCATATTACAGAAGTGAGAAAAAAAGACAGTTATTCAGTTAATTGAGACATGCATAACATCATTTCTTAGTTTTCAAGGAAAAACATGTTTTGCAACTTGAGTTTATCTGTCTGGTGACCTTGCTGCTGCCTAGCTAGGGAATCAGGGTCTTCACATTGCCTGGGAAGGGAGGAGAGAGAAGGCTCACTAGCTACAGAAAAACAGGCAGTTAGTTTTTTAAAGGACTCCAGCTCTTTCTGTTTCTCAGGGGTAATTGGGTTTTCTTACATACAGCTGAGTTTCCGCTTACACACGCTTCAATTTCTTTTAACTCCTGTTGCAGTGCAGTGCAATGTTCATAGTAGATGCTTAATATTTTTTGAATTATTGTATCTTTCTTTAGTCATTGAGAGCCATCATTTTGAGAGTCAGTCTCTCATTCTTCTAGCCCTAGATTATTTTCGTTTTCTTGAGATATGTGAATAAAGGACACAGGAGAAAAATAAAACACAGTTGAGAGTTTTGGTTAGTAGTAACCTAATTCACCCAGATTTTACTTCATATTGGTTGGAACTCTTAAGTTGAGTGTAACTAACATGAGACTTGTTTTGATGTATTGTAAACATATATTCTTGAATGACTAATGAACACTGCTTCATGTAAACAAATTTTCACCTTCTGATAATTTCCTATATTACACTTTGTAAAATATTCCCATTGGTAGTGGTCTAGAAAATATAATTTCAGTTGTTAAAGTTGAACATTACTGTGTAGTTGTTGAAAATATTAAATAATTTGTTGCTACATGATGTTAGCTGTAGCTTAAATTTCAGATCGTGAGTGTTGTTAATATTATATAGTTGGAATTAGTTCTGAGATCAATGAATCAATGCTATCTTAATATTTTGTGTCTTTAATTTTTATACCAATTTATTTTGTGAGTGGATTTCATAAAAGGAAGTTGCTTTATGTTGTCAAGCTCTTTATCTTGGGTTTTTGTCCAGAGCTGAATTCCCTTTTTCATCAAAGGACAGAGAGAGCCCATTATAAACTATTGAACAATGCTGATTTGATGGGTAGGCCACTTACATTAAAATGAAAAGGAGGCCGGGTGCGGTGGCTCACACCTGTAATCCCAGCACTTTGGGAAGCTGAGGTGGGCGGATCACGAGGCCATGAGATGGAGACCATCCTGCCCAACACGGTGAAACCCTGTCTCTACTAAAAATACAAAAATTAGCTGGGCATGGTGGCAGACACATGTAATCTCAGCTACTCAGGAGGCTGCGGCAGGAGAATGTCGTGAACCCAGGAGGCGGAGCTTGCAGTGAGCAGAGATTGTGCCACAGCACTGTAGCCTGGGCCACAAGCAAGACTCCGTATCAAAAAAAAAAAAAAAAAAAAAGTGAAAAGGAGAGAATTTTCTCTGCAAATATCTAAAGATCCTTTACACAAAATAAAAAGGCATTTTACAGGAATAACAAATATGATGCTATAAAGTGAAAAAATGAATAATGTAAACTTGACTAGTGATAGCTGACCTTGTGTTAGGTTAAAGAAAGAACAAAGTGAACTTAGCATCTAATTCGGTAGCAGTCATCTCTGTCTCATACAGACATGTGCAAACACACACAATTCGCATTTTGGAAGCCAATTTACTACTATTATTTTTTGAGGCCATTTATTTTCTCTAAAACGGATGCTTTGGTAAGCTAGCCATTATTTCTGCTTGGTCACATCAGTCAGTTCTCACACCTATAAAGTGCTTAAACATTTATAAAACGTTTGTAAAAGGCTTTCACAAATATTATACTAGTTGATTTATAAAATGGAGACAATTTAGAACAAATGAGTAATTTTTAAGTTTCAGAGGCTTAAAAGAGACTTAATACACTCTTGCATACATAACTCATGTGTGGCAGACTAGATATCTGAGCCTCAGGAAATCAATACTACGACTGCCCACTACACCTGTTTTGCTACAACACCAACTCTAAACTATCATTGCATTCCTTTTACTTTCTGTGATCCTTCTAGTTTCCAGTTAATGTTATGACGCATTTATGATGTGCATATGGCAGGAGAAGAATAGGAGAATGATGAAGAATTATCAAGAGTAATTCACTAATGACACAGAAATGAAGAAAAATTATTAAAATACTTACATTCACAGACCTGCCCCCTCTGTCCATTAAGAATAATTCGGGTCTACTCAGTCAACCTGGGCAGCCTTTCATGTACACCCTTCCTTAAGAAGCAGTATTTTGCTTTTTGAAAGTTGATAATGGGGAGGGCCAAGAGAGAAAACACCTTTCAAATAGGTTTCTAAAGGAGAGTTTAGATGAGGATGAATTATTTTTTTGGGAGGGGGTCCCCTAGGATGCTTAATTTAGGAAGTTACGTAGCGCTGTGTGATGAATGTAGTCCACTTGTACCACATCATGTTAGAAAAATGCGTTATTTTGAAATTACAGCTGTTTCATTCTCTTTTGTCATAATGTTGCTCTGATTTTGGATGGCATGAGTCACAATTTTATAAGGGCACACAGAGATAATGGACGGCACTCATACTCGACGTCATTACCATCTATTACAGGAGTCACACAGTCTGCAAAAAAAGAGCGTAAGAAGTACTACTAGATAAATCAGGGCTATAAGACTTACCCACTTACTCCCACTTAGGGCTGGAAGCACCAGGGAAATGTTCCTGAAGAAGATACATAAATGTTTCTTTCTCCTTAAGGACTAAACTGGAAACAGTTTAGGGTACCTGCAGTACATTTTGCATATTGATCTAGTACCCAATATAAGTGAGCATAATATGTATGTTTGTTTAAATGGGTCAAATCTAATTATTAATATGATTGAAAGCGTATTTCTGTATAGTTACCTGGGATTAAAGCGCCTGAATCCCAGCTACTCAGGAGGCTGAGGCAGGAGAATCTCTGGAACCCAGAGGCGGAGGTTGCAGTGAGCTGAGATCGCGCCATTGCACTCCAGCCTGGGGGACAAAGCCAGACTCAAAAAAAAAAAAAAAAAAAAAGTTGCATTGACAATCCTGCTGATCTTTTCTAAGCCCATAGGACTCTCCAAATGAAAGTATAGTTTACAACTATCCATTATAGGTAGGGCATGGTGGTCACACCTGTAATCTCAGCACTTTGGGAGGCCAAGACGAGCAGATCACTTGAAGTCAGGAGTTCGAGACCAGCCTGGCCAACATAGTGAAACCCCAACTTCGCCAAAAATACAAAAAACAGCTGGATATAGTGATACATGCCTGTAATCCCAGCTACTTGGTAGGCTGAGGCGGGAGAATTGCTTGAACCTGGGAGGTGGAGGTTGCAGTGAGCCAAGATCATGCTGCACTCCGGCCTGGGTGACAGAGTGAGTGGGTCTCTGTCTCAAAACCAAACCAAACCAAACAAAATGAACAAAACTTGTATATACATCAAGAAGTGTATCCTTCAGACACAAGCTTTTGTTTTTTTTAGTGATTTGTTAGATGGAATTCTTTTAAACTTCAATTTTTTTTTAACAGGGTGATATATAATGCATGCATCTTTGAGACAGGTTTTTTTTATTTCATTTTTAAGCAGACTGACAGCAACTGGTTCTTTAATATGAATGCATTGTTTTGTTAACCCTGTTATGTGGAGTGGTCAATCCTTACTGTGTGCATGAGTGAGACTGACATGGGAAGTGTGCAGTAGACAGAGCAGTGGGAGGCAGGGCTGGCTCGGGGGGTGCTAGTCACCATGTCACAGGAAGGTATGTCTGGGCCTAGATGCCAGGAGGCTCTCAGGGCTTGTTTCTCAAGCACCAGGGAGTGATCAGAGCCACTTGGCTCTGCCTAGTGCCCTCTGCTTAGGGCTCATAGTTGTGACGTGCCCATCCCCTGGGATCACACGGTCCCACTGCTGCCCATGACCCTGACATACTCGGGCAGAAGGGCCCAGGGTGGGATCAGAAAGCTGGGGGGTCTGATTTGCATGGATAGACCCTCCCTCTCTCTGAGTATGAAGAGAGGAAGGGAGAGATTTGGGGGAAGCTCTGCTTCAGCAGTGGGCACAGAAGGCAGGACTTGGACAGGATGCAGCATGGTGTGGTCCCTTCTCCTTGCCCTCCCTATTTACTGCACAGGTAACTGGACACAGGGCCAGGGGAGGGGCTCTGAGGAAGCCCATGGGGCTCTGGTTCTTTGCTTGTCTCTAGATCTAGAGTCACCATGTCTGTTTCTCTCCCACTTGCAGGGTCCTGAGCTCAGTCTATGCTGACTCAGCTGCCCTCAGTGTCTGGGGGCCCAGGGCAGAGGGTCACCATCTTCTGCACTGGAAGCAGCAACAATGTCACAGATACTTATCCTGTGAACTGGTACCAGCATCTCCCAGGGGTGTGCTTAGACTGCTCATCCTTGGTGATAGTGATTGACCCTTAGGAGTCCCTGACTGATTTCTCTGGCTCCAAGTCTGGCAACTTAGCCTCCCTGACCATCACTGGGCTCTGGCCTGAGGATGAGGCTGATTATCATTGCCAGTCTTAGGATAGCAGCCTAGATGCTTACACAGTGCTCCAGGCCGGTGAGAAAGTGAGACAAAAACATGCTGTGTGCCCAGCAATGAGGCTTTCCCCAGCACCCAATACTCCTCAGCCAAGTCAGCTGGTTCCTTCTTTGTATTTTTCTTTTTGGCCTAAAGCTGGAGTCTGAAAACCTCTTCAGTGTAATTTGTTTAGGGGATGTACCTCACACCTAGATAACGTGTGCCCCAAGCCCACACTTTGGCAACCACGTCTTGTGTAATTTTATCAAATGTAGCAGATCTTCCTGGATCCCAGGGGCCAGCTGCTCTGGGACAATCCATGAGGGGTGAGTCAGTCAACTGGGGCATCCACAGCAACATACCACAGACTGGGGTCTTCACCAGCAGATACTCATTTTCTCACAGTTCTGGCATCTGAAAAGATCTCATCAAGGTATCAGCAGGTTTTGTGTGTGTGTGTGTGTGTGTGTGTGTGTGTGTGTGTATTTGTTCCTGGCCCCTCTTTTATTCGCAGGTGGCCATCTACTGACACTGTCCTCACATGGTCATCACCAGGTCTGTGTATTGTTTTTGTATAAATTTATTATGAAGACACCAGTAGTCCTGGAGTAGGGACCCATTCTTATAACTTCATGCAATTTTATTATCTCCTTAATGACTCAATCTCCGAATTTAGACAGATTGGCTGTTCATTTGTAAACATTGAAAATTGGAGTAGACATCATTTGATTCATAACAAGAGATTTAGGGGGACCAGGGGCCCAGGTCCAGCTGTGTTTTACCGGGGAGAATTGGTGATGCAGAGACCATCTGTCCACTCCATTGACCTGAGCACCTGCTGTGTGCCAGGCTCTGGAAAGTGGGAATAAGAAATGCCCCAGGAACATGAAGAAAGGTGAGTTTGCAGGAGTGGGGATACCATACAGAGGGATTAATGAGAAACATGCAGAGTCTGACTAAGGTTGTAAATCCACCTGCAGCATATGCGATGGACGAGGAGAAGGGGAGCGTCCAGGCAGTACCAGATGGGGCTCTAGTTTTGACACAAATGTCAGACTGTGGAGTCCTGGATGACGGTGCAGCAGGCAAGCTGGAGAAGAGAGGCCATAACCACATGGTTCAGGGGTCAGGGAGCTGAGAAAAGAGGTGCAGGAAGAGAGAGATCTGGTCAGGCATCTCTGGACTTGTGTGGGGGCTAAAGATTAACAGAACCAGGCCAACTGCCTGCCTGGTGCTGTCTGCTCAAGGGTCACAGCTGTGACCTCCCCATATCTAGCACCCACAGCACCACCCCTGCCCATCTCCCTGATACTCAAAAGCAGAGGGGCCTGATCCAAGGTCTAGTGTGGCATCAGAAGGCTGAGGGCTCTCATTCGCAAGGATGGAGCCGCCTTCTCTGATGGTATGAGGAGAAGAAAGGAGAGATTTGGGGGAAGCTCTGCTACAGCTGTGGACACAGAAAGCAGGACTTGGGACACTCTTCACCATGGCCTGGTCCCCCTCCTCCTCACCCTCCTTGGACACTGCACAGGTGACTGGACATGGGGCCAAGGAAGGGGACCTGGGAATCCCATGGGGCCCTGCTTTCTCCTCTTGTGTCTAGAACCAGAATCATACGTCTCTTCCACTTCCAGGGTCCTGTGCCCAGTCTGTACTGACTCAGCTGCCCTCAGTGCCTGGGGCTCAGGGTCATAGGGTCACCGTCTCCTGCACTGGAAGCAACTCCAACATGGAGGGTGGCTGTAATGTGAACCAGTATCAGTAACTCCCAGGTGCTGACCTCAGACTCCTCATGGATAGTGATAGGAATTGGCCTTTCATGGTCCCTGACCAATTCTCTGGCTCCAAGGCTGGCAACTCGGCCTCCCTGACCATTACTGGGCTCTGAGTTGAGGATGAGGCTGATGATCACTGCCAGTCCTTTGACAGCAATGCAAGTACTTGCACAGTGCTTCAGGCCCATGGGGAAGTGAGACAAGGATCCCCTTCCTCCTTTGCCAGGAGGGCGAGCACCCAGCAGCCCCTGCTCAGGCCTGGATGGAGGCTTCTGCTACTGCTGCTGCCCCCATGGCCCCAGGTGCATCTAAGGCCCCACTGGGGAGTGGGGCTGCTCCTCTCCTTCTGTCCTGAAAGTCATGCGCAGCAGCTCCTTCCTAGGAAAAGGACTCCCAGGGAACAACATCCTGCTTGCTACAGCTTGGTATACAAGGCCTGTTTGCTCTGAAGTCCTGGGCTGAAGTGGCAGGTCTGGCTGTATCATCTCAGACCCACCTCTGACTGGGAACCTGCATCTTCCTCCTCATCCTCTTTCTGTTTCCAGGGGTTTCCAGAGCGGTGTCTTCCTCTCATTGGTTCTCAGTGTGTAGTCCTGTTCTTTTTGTTTTAACCTATTTTTACACATCTTTTTATTGAGGAGTAATTGATTTATAGTAAACCCCTGATATTTACATGCTTAATTTTATGTGTTTTGAAATATTAATATACCTTGAAAACTTACCGCAATGTATCAGTGACTCCATCCTTAACCCCAAAACCTCCTTGTTACTTTTTGGAATCTCCCCTCCCTCCCTCCCTACAGCTTCTCCCAGACAATCACCCATTCATGCTCTGCCTGTGGTTTGATTTTAAATTCTTAAGATTTGAAAATGGATTCCCACAGTATGTTCCCCTTTGGTGTGGCTTCTCTCACTCTGCACACTCCTTCAGAGCCCTGGGCAACAAGAGCGAGACTCTGTCTCACCAAAAAAAAAAAAAAAAGGATCAGTGATGCTGACGCTTACGTTCCCTGCCAGTAAGGGTCTGTATAGACACGCAGAGACCTGTCCCTGTCTCTGCATCCGCATTGTTTTTCTGTTGTACAACTGCAATGTCAGCATTGACTGCATTTTTCAAGTCCTTAAGTGTGTGACCTTACTTGATCCTCACAGAAACTCTATTATTACTTCCCAGAACGTGAATCCTGGTTGGAGGGGGTGTGCATGTGGCCTGGGAACAGGATTTTTCAATTTAGCAAATACAAAAACAGGAAGTTAGCTAAATTTAAATTTAACAACAATTTTTATTTTTTATCTTTTTAGTATGAGAATATACCACATGGTTTCGTTTGTTACTCTAACCTAACTGGGAATCCTGTACCCCTGCAGACACAGATTCTCAGGGGTCTCACTCTGCGGCTGGGTTCCCTGTCATGCCCAGATCTGTGCTGTTAACCTCCAGAGGAGTTTCTCTAACACAGACATCCCCAAGTAACTCCATCAGTTAACAGAGACGTGTGATACGATTCCCTCTCAATGATGTCTACTCACTTTCCGTGAGTAATCCCTCTAGGATACTCCTAGCCCCAGACTCAGGGCCTCTTCAGGGTCTGCTGCCTGTTGACCTCTGAACCACGGACCCACAGCTTTTCACAACCACAGTATTGAGTCTGGAAGATGCAAAGAGGCCCCTCAGTCTCCTCATTGTGGGCACCAGCCAGGGGTTCATAAGAATTCTATGATACAGACAGGAGAGTTCAGGATGCCCCGCTCAACTCTCCCTCTGTCCAGCGAGAGATTGATCCAGGGTCCATTTGATGCTTTAGGTTGGTGGGGTGAGAGCAGGGTGGAGGCACAGACTGAAAGCCCCAGTCTTCCAAGACGGGGTTTGGAAGCCAGAAAAGGAGGCCCTAGTCTGAATAGGGAATAGGGATCTAGGAGGCCGCTTAAGGCATGGCCTGCATTTCTGGGAGTAGCTCTGCCATCACTCTGGTCTCCCAACTCTGACACCTGTCAGGGAACCTCCCTCAGGCAGAGTAAGTTCCCAGGACTTCACAGTGTAGGAGTTCTGTGCACCAAAATAAGGACAGATGCAGCCTAACAAGGTCCCAGCAGTTGCTTCCCCTGAGGAGGAGGGAATAGACAAAGGCAGGGCAGAAACTCAAAGATGAAGAAGTAGTGGAGGTGATAGAAACAGCCCCTGGGGCTGTAACTGGAGTCAGAAATGGGGGTGATGAGGGTCACAGGATTGAGGGTGGGGCCTTGAGGATTAGTACCTGCGGAATATGCCCAGCATCCATCCACCTGAGGCTGCTGTGCCCTGTGGCTTTGGTCTGGAGCTCAGGTGCCCCTTGCAGCTTTGCCCTCCTATCTCATGGGTGAACCTCAGCCGTCCTCAGTGGCCTCTCTCTGGTGGGAGTCCAGGTATGGCTGGGGATCATGGATGTGGGACAGGTACCACCTTGGTGAGATGAACTGCATAGATAACTCCAGCTTTGTGAATCCCAGCACCAAGGTGAGGGCATCTAGTACCCCCAGTGTGCCTGCGCCCTCTCTGGATGCTGTCTTTGGGTGTCTCTGCCATGGCTTGGCTCTTGTCCTCCAGAACTTGTTCCTTCTGCCAGGCCAGGTCCTTAGAAAATCCTGAGGACACTTGGGATCCAAGAAATCCTGCTCCCTTCTTCCTCCAAGGTGCAGGGCCATGGCCAGGAGTCCCTTCTCTCTGTGTCTTTTTCTTACTCTGGCCCCCATGATGAGCTGTCCCTAGGAGAGAAGGTCACAGTCTCCTGACTACAGTTTCATGTAAGCTTGATTCTGCTCCCCGCCCTGGTCCCAAAAGTCCCTAGGCCACATCTAACCATTACTCACTGCTCAGTGACAACAGTTGTACACCCACAGTGCACAGACTTTCAGGGCTGTGAGACACACCCCAGCCTGGGCACCTTCAGTGTAAAGTGGCCTTCACTAAGTCACCAGCAGGGTGGGCAGTGACTTCCCTGTCCCTTTCTACACCTTAGAACTTACAAGGGATGGTTCAAAGCATCAACTTCACTATATTTCCATATAGAGTTTCTTTCCCCGGCAGCGTGTGGGTCATTTCAGGGTCATACAGGAGAGAAAGAAATGCATTGTGTTAGAAAAAGCCATTGCTATTGGACTGGTAGCTGACATTATGTTACCTTGAGTCTGATTTTATCACCTTGCCATGATTCAGTTTTCCAGTGAGAAAACTTGGAGGTGATGGAGATGATTTTTGTCTTGACTGGGGCAACGGCTTTATGGGTATATGTATATGTCAAGCTTAGTAAGCTGAAATTGAATACTTCAAATATATAGAGTTGATTGTAATGTATGTCTCAGTAAAATCATCATGGATATATTTCCATCTCCTTAGTATCAGAGTGAGTGTCCTCATTATGTGTCTCCAGTTTCCTTCACAACAGAGCCACCTCTGTAACATCAGACCACTGACGTGGCCCCCGTAAGCTTGGCCGTGACCTTAACAGTCTGTTTTTAATGTCTGTGATGGGTGCATATCCTGCTGTGTCTTCCAAGGACATTTCTCCCTTCATAGGAATATGGCGTGCTCTTTGTCCTGCTATAGGGTTTCTGGTCTTTCACATTCAGGTCGCAGCTGCCGCCTACCCTGGCTTCTGTGGAAGGAGCTGCTCAGGCCTTTGGTCCCAGAGTCCTCTGTGTTCTCCCATGACTGCAGCCTTCTCACAATGGAAGGTCGCCGTGATTCTCACAGCCGCTTCTTGTAATCCAGAGTAACCTCCTGGGTCAAGAGTATTTACTTATACCTGCAACAGAGGCTTGACTCTCAGATGCTGTGAACTGACGCTGACCAGTCTCTGAGGCTAATGCTATTTACCCGATTTTCACTAAGAGACTGCATTCTGGCCAGTGAGCAGCAGGGAGCACTGTGGGTCTGTCTCAGGGTCTGTCTCAGGGTCTGTACAGTGGGTGTCCACAGCTGTACCACCCCCCAAACTTCCCAGGGCTGTGCAGTGGAGCCTGCACTCACTGAGACAGACTCAGCAGCTGTGTTCTCTCTGGGTGTGGTTTCAGCATCCACCTTCTCCCAGGTCCAGCCTGCAAGACTTTCCTCTCCACCAGCCCCCCAGGTCTTGAATAAATGCATGGGGAGGGGTGGGGACAGTCATTGGGGGGACATATTTGCATTCCTAGTCCCTGGGCTCTCTGAGGCCAGTGGAGGGAAGATAAGAGAGGCCTGGGGGCAGCACTCCAGCTCTGGACCTCAAGAGGGCTGTGTCCACCATGGCTGGGGGCCTTCTCTTCTTGCTGCTCCTCCCTCAGTTCTCAGATAGGGACAGGCCTCCAATGTCCAGGTGCATCCTCAGCCTTGACAAGTTCCCTCTGGTTCAGATCTCCTGGCAGCTCAGCTTTTGCTCCTGTTTCCTCAACCATGAGTGCCTGTGTTGGCAGGTTTTCTCTCCCTACCCATGATGACTCAGTTGCCCTGTTTCTGCATCTCTGGGAACATCAGCTAGGCTCATCTGCACTCTAAGCAATGGCTTTAGTGCTGGTGGCTGCCACATATGCTGGTTCCAGCAGAATCTAGGGAGCCCTTCCTGATATCTTTTGAGATTTTATTTGGACTCAAATAAGAACCAGGGTTCTGGGGGTTCCCAGCCCCTTCTTGGAATCTAAAGATTAATCGACCAACATTGCTGAAGCAATGTTGGTCGATTAATCGATCAACCTATGCTGAAGCCTGAAGATGAGACTGTTATGGTAGTACATTTCTTTACAGCTCTGAGGCTTACACAGTGCTCCAGGCCCATGGGGAATTGAGAGACAAATGTTACCTCCGCTCTCCTGGCCTGGTGGAGTCACCCCAGCTGGTGGCTCTGACAGATGTAGCTCAGTGTGTAACTTCCGTGTGAGCACCTGATTTTCCTCAGACAAGTGGATTTAACAATGTTATACCCCTTTTTCAGTTGAACTGCTGTAGCTCCCATAATTTCCATGTATTGTGGAAGGAGCCTGGTGGGAGGTAATTGAATCGTGGGGTCGGTTTACCCTGTACTGTTCTCATGGTAGTGAATAAGTCTCAAGAGAGCTGATGATTTTACACGAGGTTTCCCCTTTCACTCGATCCTGGTTCTCTCTTGTCTGCCACCATGGAAGATGTGCCTTTCACTTTCTGCCACAATTGTGAGGCCTCCCCAGCCACGTGGAACTGTGAGTCTGTTAAACCTCTTTTTCTTTATCAATTACCCAGTCTCAAGTACATCTTTATCAGCAGTGTGAAAACAGACTAGTACATATCCTATGAAATAAGGATAACTCAGAAAATGGAAAGTCACATACATGGAAAAATATAAAATACTGCAAGATAAAGAAAGTCAAACGAATAGATGTTTCTAGTTTGTGGTTGCACTCTATGTCATTAAAATAATATTTTTTCCAAATTTGTTTGGTAGAGTCACAGCAAAGTTGTTTTTCCTTTTTTTGAGATGGAGTTTCGCTCTTGTTGCCCAAACTGGCATGATCTCTGCTCACTGCAACCTCCGCCCCCTGGGTTCAAGCGATTCTCCTGCCTCAGCCTCCTGAATAGCTGGGATTACAGGTGCACACCACCACACCTGGCTAACTTTTTGTATTTTTAGTAGAAATGGGGTTTCACCCTGTTAGCCAGGCTGGTCTCGAGCTCCTGACCTCAGGTAATCCATCTGCCTCTGCTTTCCAAAGTGTTGTGATTATAGGCGTGAGCCATTGCGCGCGACCCACAGCGAAGTTTTAAAGTAACATGCTTTACATGTAATAGAAATCACAGCAAAGAAATAGAAAATGTCAGAAAATTTATCAGTGAAATAACAGCCCTGTGATAATCCTGCTCAAGTTCCAAATGACCTGTTTCTGAAGAAGGATTAAGGAAGAAGTTGCTTTTCCAAGTCTAGGAACACACTTGTCATTTTGGGTGATCAAGGGAAGTGAAGAAAAGACAGCTTAAGTCAGGGAAGAGGACAGATCAGG